TGCTTGAAAAGCCGTGATTCTCACCCCCTCGCGCCTGCAAAACCCAAGATTAAATCAAGATACGCAGTTTCAGTTTGTTTTTTTTTTTTCTCCTTACTTATCTATCTTGCTATTGTCCTTGTGTTAACAAGATGCAAACACAACCTCCTAGGACAAATACTTTAAAAAAAATAAAAAAGGACAAAGGTTCTGGTGCTAGAGAAACTGGTAACTTATCTTTTTTTTTTTTTTCTTTTTCTCGCTCACTCTCTCTTTCCTTTTTTTTTTTTTTGTTTGTTGTTGTTGTTTTACAATTTTCAATACTAGCTTCTCAGACAGCAGATTTATCTGGGGGGAACATGACAGGCAGAAGGGGAGGCAAGAGGCCACTGTACTTTTCACAAACTGAATGCTGTAAAGGAAACTTTCTGCCGTACATTGGTTTGGGGAGTGTGGGATTGAACAGAAGAATAGGCATCTTCCCATTTCCAGGTGAAAGCATGTACCACCTTGTATTTACATTTAATCCTAAGGAAATATTGCTGATGTCCAGCCCAGTCAGTCCCTCAGTGTCAGGAGCAAGTTAGCTTGTACCAGAAATTAAACAGTCACTTTATTAAGTGCTACACAAGCCTCAGTTTTCTTCATGTTTTGCATCTGGTCTCCAAACGCACATTTTCAATGTTTGTGAACAAAGTTAAAACATTTGCCAGCAGAATTTGAGATGCAGAATTCTTTATTTGCCATTTACTTCCAGAAGTATGAGGGGCTCAAGTCTGTCTGTTCAACTCATTGCAGAGATTTTTCAAATGAAAGACATTTACACTTCTGAGTTAGATACCTGTAAATTATAAACTGAATAAAAGCATAAAAGGAAAGGGAATGCCCTGCTGGTAGAACAGACCATACAATAGTAACTTAGACTTGAATTCCTGCATCTATTTCATACTATATACTCGGGTGTCAAAACAAGGTGCACAGATAATTCTTATGTGCTTCTGCACAAGTGTTCCTCTGCTTCCCCCAAATCTTTAATAAACATCAGAGACAACTGTGATAACAATCCTTTGTCACAACTTCTCTATAGTTCCCTAAATCTGAGCTGGACAATCCAGCTGCAGAATAATAAATGCTTTCTTCTAACAACAGACCTTCAGAGAAGGAATCGGGACTTCTTCTCTCAAAGTAGTGATCTCCTGTTGTACCACTTAAAGTGGTTTGGGATCTGACTCTGACATTTCACAATAAATCAGTCTCTCCTTCCAGAAGGTGAGATGCCCATACCTTTTTTCTCTGAAGTGTCCAGGTACTCCAACTACGGATTCAAAGTAGCTGAGGAAGTCTGAAGATGCCAAACTAGTTGATGCAATGGAGATCTGAATGTTTTCCAGCCTGAGACTGGTTAGAATAACCTCAAGTCACAATAAAAGTTCTGAAACCTCCTCTGAACCCACCAAGAGCTAGCGTACACCTGATGTTCAGACTTTATAATTGCCCGAGTCAGAACCACATTCATGAAAAGCTGTATCACATCTTGATGGAAAAAAGCAAACTCAGTATTTCTGGAACTATTTGAACCAGAAGCCCAGCTATCAGCAGGGGCCTTCATCCAGACCCGTCAGTCTTGTGAGGCTGTTTAGCAGCTGAAGGTCTTTTTTTTTTTTCCATGTTTGATAATTTCCACCTCACAAACAATATTGCTACTTTAATTATTTTCACATCTGTGCGCTGGAGTAATGCAAGATTGTACCATTAAGAGTTAGCTTGTTACTAATTACTGCCATTTTAATGTATCCAGAAGTTTCATATTCCATCCAACAAAGAGGAAAAGTTTTGGTAAGTTTTACTCTGACATTTGACACTTTTCCTTCTCAGGGTTTGAAGAAAACCATCACTACCATGGACCGAGAACTTCCACGTTCTGCACTTAGCATCAATAACAGGAATGAACTTCGAAATGTCCTACATCTGCACTCCTTGTACAAACAGAACAAGGTAAGGAAAAAGATCATGCTCCCTGAAATATTTTTGATTTAGTCCATAAACCCAGTCCCAGGGTAACTCACAACTTAAGGCACCACAATGCTTTTCGTAAGCAACATGAGGCTACCCTATAACAAGCCACTTAAACAAAAATTCTCCCAGTGCAGTTGCATTGCTGTAGCAGACATTGTAACTTTTTTTACTTAAGCCCTAAAGTTCTGTGGTGTTTGTTTGTTTGGTCGGGTTTGGTGGTTTTTTGTTTTTTTTTTTTTATGAGCTGCTCATGTACACAGGACACATTTTCCAGAGTACTGTTGGAAAACAGTATAACAGGTGAGGTGGGTGTTGCCCTCTACTTAAGGGTTATCCCAAGCACATGGATAGAATTCTAGAGTCCATACCATTCGCCAAATTCTGGTAAAATAAACCCCAAATACTGAAGTTGGGTACTAAAAATACTTGCATTTCATCCTACATCTGAAGTTGACCAGGTAACGTTAGAAAAAGTTTATTCTAGCACAGTTACCATACTGTGCAATGTTTAGCTAAAATGAGAATAAGGAATGACCATAACAGGTTGTTCTCTATCATGCTGACTTCATTTAACACAGCAACACCTTGCAGCTCTTGACATTCTCTAGCTGACATCTTCCAGTTTCCTGGATTGTTTGGACAGTCACATCTGGGATAGACCCATAGGCAGCTAACTCTACAAAGTAGTATGTTCAGCTACTGTACAAAGAATATCCTATGTTAGGCTGCAGCAAGACTAACAAAGAGTTTCAATAGTCACCAAGAACTTTCTTTTTGGATAGGCAAAGGAGAACCCACTGAAAACACTTCTTGAAATTATTACCAATTACTTCCTTGAGCACCGTGGGACTTCCAGAAGCATCAGTTCAAGTTCTGCTCCGTCAGCTCCTCAGAGTAAGAGCTCAACATCTCATCCATCTGACTTCTCGGATGGAGATCATATCCAGGGGAGTGCCATTATGCCCGATGAAAGTGAAACTCCAGCCACCAGGTACAGTCTTATTTCTTTCTATTTGCTCTGTCACAGTTGTGTTTGTTTTTTTTTGTTTGGTTTTTTTTTTTTTTTTAAATTAAATGAGGCTAATAGTGTTTAAAGTGTTATCATTTGTACTTTCAGCTACACTACCTTTTATTAGTTATCCTCATAACACAAAGCTTAAATTTCCAGATTATTAAAATCTCCTATGCAAGCCACCCTTCAAAAATGCTTTTATGTCCCCAACCAATTACAAAGATTGATAACCTCAATTACATCTTTCAGTCACTGAAGCACATAGAAAACTGAGCTTTTATGCCTTGCAAACTGGAAATACTCGAAGCATACTGTGATGAGAAACTAACCACCTGCATTCAAAATACAGGTATATTCATGCCTTACATAGTAAAAAGCAAGGCCTACTGTCTTAAATTCAGTATTGTTACAAACAGTACAGGTTCAGTTATTTCCAGCTTGCAAAACACCTGAAAACAGCATGTAACCAAGTTGTTCAATGGCATTTATTAGTGCCTCAAGGTGGAGTAAGAGCCCTAACTGTGCTGTTAGAAAGCTTTTAAAATGGGCACAAAGAGTAATTCACCTTCCCAGCCTTGATTCTCAGGGAATTAATCTAATTTTATTCCTCATCCTAAACACAGCATGCTCAGGGTAGCCAAGTCTGACCATCAGCGCTTGCAAAACCCCTGCAACTCATTCCTTCTAGGGGAAGAAAGCTGAGATTTTCAAAGTTAGTGCTACCAGCTGAGAAGCAACACTTGAAAAAGCACAAGTGCAAAAGAAGGATTAGCTGCTTCTCTTTCAGCTACAGGAGCTTTTAGCATGTTGTCATTGATCTTCTCTCCCCCTGTCTGACACCATCCCACCTCACGCTGCCTCAGAGCTCGAACCTGCCTCATTTTCTCCCCCTGCCCCAGACACTGCAAGTTGTTCCACTCCCCCTGCGAGCCTCTCCGGTGCCCACAGACCTTTCTTACTACACCACAAACCCTTCTGCTGCAGAGGAATCCACTAACAGCCCCCTCTGACACCGAACAGCAGCACCCAGCAGCGTTAATCCTGCCCTGCCCTCCCCTTACCGACCCCAAACAAAATGGCGACCCCTGCCACCCCCCCGAGCTGCTTATATCCCGCTGTGCGTTCCCCTCCCCTGCCCACCCTGTGCAGGCGGGAGAGTGGGGGAAACCACAGAGCTCGTGTCCCAGACTGGCTGTCATTGCTCCGGAAGTGGTGACCACTCTGCTATATGCTGGAGGGCACTCTATGGTTTTAATCCTCCCCTGGCGGGAAAGACATGCGCAGTGTGGTGGTGGAGTTAACCCCCCACCTTCCACACACACACCCTCTCCCCACACATTGACCCACACGCACGGAGGCGCTCATTGTACACACGTAGATGAACACACAAATGCAAAGAGGCAACGTTAAGTCCCACACGCAGAACAACATAGAATCATAGAATAGTTTGAGTTGGAAGGGACCATGGAGGCCATCTAGTCCAACCCCCCTGCAGTCAGCAGGGACATCTTCCACTAGATCAGGTTGCCCAGAGCCCCATCCAACCTGACCTTGAATGTTTCCAGGGACGGGGCATCTACCCCCTCCCTGGGCAACCTGTTCCAGTGTTTCACCACCATAAGTGTAAAATACTTCTTCCTTACATCTAGTCTAAACCTCACCTCTTTTAGTTTAAAACCATCACCCCATGTCCCATTGCTACAGGCCCTGTCAAAAAGTGTATCCCCATTTTTCTTATAAGCCCCTTTGAGTACTGAAAGGCTGCAGTCAGGTCTCCCTGGAGCCTTCTCTTCTTGAAGCTGAACAACCCCAACTCTCTCAGCCTCTCCTCATATGGGAGGTGCTTCAGGCCTTCAGCCATCTTCGTGGCCTCCTCTGGACCCGCTCCAACAGGTCCGTGTCCTTTGTGTGCTGAGGGCTCCAGAGCTGGACACAGTATTCCAGGTGTGGTCTCACCAGAGCAGAGTAGAGGGGCAGAACCACCTCCCTTGACCTTCTGGTCACGCTTCTTTCGATGCAGCCCAGGATACGTGGTGCTGTGAGGAAGGGCCCTTCTCCATCATGGCGTGGCCACTGTCCCTCAAGGGACAAAGTATTCCCCTTCTCTATTCCAGCCACTGGGGCAGAGGGGAGCAAAAATAGCAAAAATAGCAAAAATAGGAAAATCAGAAAGTGAAAAGCATAAATACCCAACTGTTCGCGTGTACAAGCTTGGAAACATTACCCAGCCACACACTGAAAGCTGCCAGCTCTGGAGAGGGGCAAAATCCTGTGCTGACTTGCAGGTTTGTATCTAAATCCTCTGTGATTTTGTGCTGATTTTCATGCCTTCATGTGCACCAAACTCACCAGTTATGCCTTCCTGAGGTGGGCAAGGCTGAAGTTGGCTGGAGTTCCGAGGAAGGAAAAAATGTGAGTGATGGGAATGTGGGTTTTGTGGCCTGTCCTGATAGAAATCACTATTTGTACCTGATTTTTCTTTCAAAACCAGCTGAGAATCTGACCCTTGGACACAGGTGGGCACTCCCGCATGAGCGGCTACATTTCTCCCTTGGATCAGGTCTTGTCCCAGCTGTGCCATTTGTCTGCATTTCAGCAGCACAGCCGCAGGAAGAGGCTGCAGAGCTGCCCTAACAGGGACTGTCGTGGCCAGGTTGGCAGTTTGTTTCAGCCACGTCCTCTTTCAGCCCACAAAATGAACCGGTGAGAGAAACACCATGGCAAAGCGCACCTCTCTGATCCTCCTAGCCGTTTCTGTCCCCTCCGGCCGTGAAAAAATCAGGCATTACCAGGTCAACCAGCCGGTGCTTCAAATTAGTTTTAATTTCAACTACCTGGTTAATTTTTGACAACACTTTCAGGAGTGGAGAATATAATTAGACAGGTACTCTTCACTGGTTTCTTAGTAAAGAGTCTTTGTTCCTTTTAACTTGCCCCTCTCGAAGTTTTTTTGAATGTCAGTAACTGTTGAAACTGTCTCTAAGCTGACACACTGTCCCCTTTGGCAGTGGGGGGTTATGTGGTCCTAGGTTAGGAGTAACAGTCCTGAGATTTTCTAATACTCCCAAAGACTGGTCATGCTCCCTTCAGTTCACATATGCAGCGTACCTTCACAACACGAGACATACTACTTCAAAAACCAATTTTTCACTTGTTATATAAAAGGAGTGTTTTCGTGGTACAAGATGCTTCAACTCATGGAATTGCTTTACTATGAAATAAGATGGAGAAAAACATGATAGAGTGAAAAACAAGTTCAAGGACACTGATTGTAAAGAAGTCTAGCATTTGCAGGTTACGCAGAATATCAGTTTATCAGAAGAGATCTCAGTGAAGTGGGAATTACTCAATAAATAATTTCCATTTAAGAGTGATCCAATATTATGCAGACAGTGAAACAATCCTGATGAAGAAAATTGGACTCATCGTGATTTTTTACAGGCTCAAATGATGACTTTTTTTTTTTTTTTTTTAATAAGAACATGATTTGTTAAAAGATATTTTTAAGAGAGAAAGGAATATTGTGTTGTACAAGCAGAGTCACACATCCATGTGAATCTCACTTGCATTTCAGAAAAGCTTGTTTGTAGCATTATATATGTGTAGGAAGACAGATACAAACAGTGAACTACACCTTGTGTTGCTACCTGGAGGAACAGGCTGAAGAATACAGAAGAGGTCAGATGACAGCAGTGTAGCAACCTATTTTGCCCAATTACAATAGTACCTTTTTTTTTTTTTTTGAAGTAAAATAAGTGTTCTACATTTGAACAGAGAGTGAAAGGGGTCAGTAGAGTCAGTCTAGGTTATATGATAACAGAGGATGTTAGCAAAAATGTTAACAAATTTTAAAACTGACAGCCAAGCAGATGGAGGAGGAATGGAAAAGGCTGGTAGTAGCTTAGAACTTGCCTGGTATGATATATATAGTTTTATTTCTGTTATTATATGGCACATATCAAACTAAGGAAGCATGTGATTAAAGTGTTACACATATTATAGGCAATTGTGACACATTATAACGATATTGAAATAATGTCGTGAAGACCTACATATGGATGTTTAAGTGAAAAGCGATTATATTTGAGTACCATTGCTAGATAATAAATAACTTAATTTGACAGCAGTGCTTTAATTAGCCAAGTGGATGTTTTCATTGATTTCATTGTGTGTTATCTTGCTGCTTGAAGTTTTGCCTTTTTCATCCTTGTAGATATGATGTTGAGAATCCACTAGATAAAATCCTCCCATCCAGAAAATATCAGCACAGAAGTGAAAAATGCCACACGGGGACAATACAGAACAGCCACTTACCCTCTGATGGGGATAAGAAGTTAAAAGATAGTCGAGAAGATTTAAAAGCGGCAACAATTTCTGAGGAGCTGAAATCCACAGTGAAGGAGAAATCAAAGCCCAGGTCTGGTCTTATTGTCAGAGGAATGATGGCTGGACCAGTCGCAAGTTCCCCAGAGGTGATTTCCAACACTTACGCCATAGATTTTATATGTAACCTCCAGCGCTAAAGTAATTTGAAAATAATATATAAAATGGCTTCTGCATGCTAATCCATTACATCTGCCATCTGAAAATATGCGGTAGGTTAGTATGAATTAGTTGGATATTGCTAAATTTCTATTTGTAAATAGAGAATAAATACCTGTAGTGTGCAGTTTTTCCACTAAAATGTCTTATATGTCTTGGTTTCCTGAGCTGGGTAAGAGCCCAAAGTTATGCTTTTAGGAGGTATTGTATTGATGTTCGTGAGTAAAAGAAAGCAGTTTTTAATGGTATATAGCATCTTTAATGTTGTTTGAATTTTGACTAAAAGTGTATGTCTGTCTTGTTTATTATAATCTTTTGTTAAAATCTGATTGACTGTGTGACTTGATTACTAATCATAAACAAATTGCTCAGCCCAGAAATTAGTGACAGAGCTTTCCTTTGCTTTTCATGTTTATTTAAAGATCCTCAAATTTTAATCTATGGTTTTAATGGCACTTATTTCCAGGATCTGCAGAAAAGGAGGCTTTCAAAACGATCCATTAGCATAAGCAGTACAGGACAGTTCAAGGGTGAAGAACAGGAAGAAAATTACCTGAGTGTTCCAAGTGCTGATTTTCAAGAAAGCAAAGGATCTTCAGGACAACTAAATATGGAGTTTGCATCAAAGACTATGCCAAGCTCACACACAAGTTCAGCCTCTGAAAAACTAAGAAGCATCCCCAAAGATACAGATGACTCTTTTGCCAAACTGCTGTCTGAAAAAGAGAGAACCAAGACAGAAGACAGAAAATCAGTGCCAAGCTTTGGTACAGACAGCAATGAAAAAAGCCTTAAAGTGAGTGCCCCTCACAGACATTCAGGAGCTGGAAGAGAGAAGAGAGAAAGATCCCTCAGGAAAAATGAGAGTTGTTTGTCAGGCCACAGGTAAGTGTATTTGTAAGAATATTATACTAAAAAACATTGAGGAAACCTGATGAAGGACTAGGAGTGACCGAGGTACGCCTACTGATTTCATCTCAGTGAAAGTAGCTGGAAGAGGTGAAGATACTGAAAGGTAGATATATGTTAAGATTTGATCTACTAACATTTGACATCCCAAAACACTCAAGACTTTCTTGGTTGGTGGAGGAACCCTAGAGGTTCTGGTTTATCTTTACTGCTTCAAAAGGGACTAGTTACTAGTTCAGACTTGGATCATTTAGACATCTAAGCAGCACAGGTGACTCCCACCTGTGGAGGTCATCTGCAGTGTTCCACGGAGACATTGCTCACTCGTTGGGAAATAGTGTTTATTCCCTCTAAATATTGCAGTAATACATCGAGAAAAGCTCAGAGGATAAAATTAAGGAGTACCAGCCAAGTGCATACATATGTCCGCCTGGTTCAGTGCAGTGCTGTGTAGTGATATCCAACCCAGGCTGGTTTAGCTACCAGCACAGAAAAAAAGTAGAGACACTGCAGGGTGTCTTTGAAGCAGGATAGCCTGTGTCATTGCAGTATTTAGACTAAGCCCAGTTAGCATCCCACTCCACCATGATGCTGCAGCCACACAGCTCCTGTGTCTCAAAGTATTTTAGTCAAAACTTAGCTCAGATTTTTTTTTTTTTAAATTGTGCTGCATTGCTTCACATCAGTTTAAAAGCTTTAGAAGAGCCTCCTTCTGTGATCTCCAAATATGATTTTTGGCTTTTCTCTGTCTTATACTCTTAACTTTTTTTTTTATTTTTTTTTTTTTTTTCTGTGCAGAATTTGAGAGGAGTGGGATACATGGGATTTTGTTTGTTTGGGGTTTGCTAAAGCAGTAGGTCCCAGAATGCCACACCTCAAAGCTGGCTTCATAGCGGGGCTGTGACTTGGACTGGGTTTTGAAACGCTTCAGATTTGAGTCATCCATCAGAGTTTAACTAGTCTGGAATTCTGAACCACTGAAGGTGCTCGAGGTTTGAGCAGTGCAGGGCAACTGTGTCCTATCCGTGCATATATAAAATCTACATAAAAAAAAATTTCTGCCACATTATCTAGCACTTCTCAGCAGCAGCTCTTAGATAAATTAAGCAGGGGGAGAGTATCACTCTGCCCATACTACAGATGGGAAAACTGAAGCAGGAAGAGAGAAATCTGCACGCTACAGGTCACACAGCATGTCAATAATAAACATGCACAGGGCTCAGGCACCTAGAATGTTGGTTTTGTGGTGCACTCCCAGTGCTGGAAGTGAGCATGTGTTATATTTGGTAGGAATATTTTCGAGTTTATATCACCTGCTGCTCCATAAATGAAGGCACATGACATTATCCTCGTCTGTGGGCCATAAAGTAGTATTTCTGTTTTACTAAATGTAACAGCAGCCAGGTTTGTTGCTTTTGTTAAGTGCTAAAAAACCTCATTAATATGCTCAAACTGCAGCCACAGATTTATTTAAAATTCTTATTACTATTTTATTTTCCTGTTTAATTTCTTATAAATCTCAAGACACAGTCTGTTGAGACTATGAGGAAGCAATGATATATTAGGGGTCTCCACATTTATGTTACAGGCTGTGGAAGTTAACAAACTGGGGATCTAACTGGAGCTGCAAATGGTCCAGGAGTGGCCCTTGCTTCCTGTTTGGAACTAAAAAGCAACTGCAAATAGCCACCAGCATTATGCAGTTATTTACCTGTGTTAGCTAGCTTCATTTGTAAAAGATTATTGAATAACAGGCCAAAGTACTACAGTTTTAAAATCCACAAGAGGTCAGTTCTCCAGTGTGTACTGTACTGGAAAGCTGAGCTGTGTGAGATTATGTCTGAACGCAGGCAATGCAAGTCCAACTGTTGCTGAACTGGAACTGGTTCCTGCAGATCCACCTTTGATATTCTGCTTCCAGAAGGATTTATTAAGTCTTGTGTGAATGCAGAGAGCCAGCTCATAAGTCACTGTGGAAGCAGAAGCAATGGGGTCTGATTCCACACAACTCTTGCTTCCTGTAGCTTGACAGAGCATATAAGGTAGTGCTAACCCATCGCTTCATCCTTTCAAGTTTCAGGATGGTTTATTGCTTCATGCTCAGCATTAATTGAGGCAGAGAATACTGCTTCAGTGGCCTTTTCACAGCTCCCCAGCAAATCTGAGAAGAGTAAGTGTATGCCTGGTATTTGATAATCAATGAATATATAGTACATTATTTATCAGTGTCAAAGGCATATTGGATGGATTATATTCTTTGGGAAGACTGTGTCTGACCAAGAAATCATAGAATCACAGAATGGTTTGGGTTGGAAAGGACCTTAAAGATCATCTAGTTCTAACCCCTGCCATGGGCAGGGACACCTCCCACTAGCCCAGGTTGCTCAAAGCCTCATCCAGCCTGGCCTTGAACCCCTCCAGGGATGGGGCATCCACAGCTTCTCTGGGCAACCAAATCTCTTGTACTAACATCACTCAGCTGCCGTTGGACATGCTGGCACTTCCTAACCTTATACAGTAACTGTGGATTGAGCAGAAAAGGAGAAGCTGGACTGAAAGGGGGCTGCCCCAGTGCTGTGCTCCATTGCTGTAGTAAGCGGTTTGAAATAGTTCCTTCTGAGGTCTGGTTTGGTTTCAGGAAGAACAGAAGAGGGAGCTCTTTCCTAAGCAGAGTCAATGCAGTCTCTTGCCAGAGGAAAACAGGGACATTCCTGCCAGATGATTTGAGTTAAAGCCAGTAGAGCATTTGAATTCATGCTGAGCTCTGAGCTCCTGAAAACTCTCACTGAAATCAGCAGGACTGCTGTTACCCCTGAAGTTAAGTGGGAGTAGCAGAGAATGGAAGTGAGACTACAAATAAACATCGACCATTACCATATAAGGCAAGACTCCCATATCCCTTTGGCCAAATCCTGCAGCGTCTGAGAGCCTTTCAGGGTTTGGCAAAAGTGCTTCAGCATTTTGAGGCATGAAAAATTACAATGTAGGGAGCAGAAATTTGTCTGTATCCTCTTCCATTCTCTATTACTGCTATCTGATGACTGACATGAATGCTAATCTAAGTTTTTAGAGGAGTAGCTGCAAATCTATATAGGATGAACCACAGCTGGTTCATGCAAAGGCATCTGCAATTCTGGTTTGTTTGGTTTTGGGTTTTTTTGGTGGTTTTTTTTTCCATAGAAAACTAAAGACATACAAATCTTATTTTTCCTTCCATTTGCTGTACTTTTGGGTTCTCCTTTCTCATATGCAAAACATGCTATTGCTGCATACAGGCTGCAGGCATCCATTGTCTACGTGTGAGAAAAAAATGAAGCAAAACCACTTCCATGCTTCAAACAAAAATCTGAATGTTATTGAATAAATGCTTACAAACTGAGTGGGCAGAAATACCTGGCTATAAAAATATCCTGGGGAAATACAGATCCACAGTATTTTGACTGACACATTTTAATGAAAGAAATGATCGTGCTTTTATTTAATCAACTATCTAGTTCTTAGCTACCACATGAAGATTGTGCAGTGGGTAACTGTGTTGAGAGGCCAGATATGTGATTTGATATTTCAATCGCATAGTATCAACATGCAGTTAGACCTCTGAGTCCCATATTTCACATAAAAGTTTGTCCTCATTAAGAACTGGAAGTTCTGCCTTTGTGCAAATCGACACCATTTTGCTGTCTTGATAGTGAGGAGGCATTTGGATTTCTATGATGACCCAAATTAAATGCTTACTGGCAAAGAGGACTGTGCAATTCCAGAGTGAGCACTAAGTTTTGAAAAATGATGGACCAACACATCCACCACAGAGAGGAAAAAAAGAGTAAATTCTTTTTTTTTTTTTTTTTTTGCATTGCTATTGCTGCAATTCCTTGTTTGTTTTTAGGCAAATGGAATGGAGTTAGTGAATCAATCAAATGGAGACTAATGGTACAGATGTAGTATTTGCATGTTTGTTGAACTGCTACTGCTGAGAGCATCTGCTTTCAAAATCAGGCAACTCTCATGGTGGTTTAAAAGGCAAGTGCTTAACTGCAGTTATTACCTAATTGCTCATAACTGCAATAAAATACTGACTTTTAATAGAAAACTGCTTGTTATTTTTTCAGTATACTCAAGACTTAGTGTTGATCCCCTTGCATTATGTAATGAGTGCACCACATTCCTTTAATCACAGAAAAATAGAGGTGAAGAACAATTTGTTCACCTGTGCCTTCAGTTATGTACATTGTACCTGGCAATTTGTTGTCTCAGTTCTTCCCCAGAAAAGGGAGAAAAATGATCACAAAGAATAAGAAGAAAAGGATTTTCTTGTATTACAGGAGGAACAGAATTTTTTGTTCTGTTGGTCAATGATAGCTCTCTGCCACAACTGTGTTCTGTTCCATGTCACTGGGAGGTGTTCCATAAAGAAATATAACGTGCTGTACAGTTTACATACCAACTTGGATGTAACTGTGAATGCCATCTATATGCCTTTTTTTTACAATTCCTTTCTTTTTAATTAATCAAAAAAAAAAAAAGCAATATCTAGGTGGCAGCAAATCTTCATGTATCTTCAGCTGTAAACAAACAACAGCTGATTTAATTTCTCGATTCATCTTGTTTTGTTTATTGTACCATATATGTTATGGTGTTGGGGATGGTAACTGTGCTGGGCCCTGGCAGCTACAGGAGTTTATTATAAGGACAGTGTTTCCATCAGAGTTTTAAACTTACTTTTCTCAGGAATTGTATGTCTGGCTTGTCATATTCTATGAATTTAGCTTTTACTAGTTTAGATATAATGCTGCAGTGGTCACAGTACATTTCTTCTTTACTGCCTAAATTACATAATAGTAGCACAATCATGAATATATGAAATAAATAAGGAAGGCTAAAGGTTTGCTTTGACAGAGAAGTAACTGATCAGTTTGCGTATACAGAATTATGTCAGTGATTCCTCCATGCTCCTAAATTACATAATAGTAGTACAA